TGTGTTATAGAAGATAAGAATATTGGTCGCAATATTAATCCTTAGTGTATGAATGTGACTCTTTCACATCTGTATTCTTTTACGCTCGATAATATTTTTATTATACAGAAACTATTTTTCAAAAACATTTAGCAGACATTTAGAAAAATTATTATTCTTCAATATAGAAAATCACTTCTTAATACACACACACACACACACACACACATACTTGATTAGGCGAAAATTATCATTTAAAATTCGAATCTAAACAAGATGAAAAGGAACCGCTGTTCTAGTCCCATAAACGTCAACTCGAAGAGCACACGCAGCGCGCGAAAACCGGCACCCTGGCAAGCGTTCCTAGAACTCGGCGAGGATAATTGGCGAACCATATGAGAATTCGCACCCCTTGCCCCATAATCGATACGTTGCCATTGTCTTTCCTTACGTGCAGGCGTCGTAAATTTAAGAGAATTTTGATCCTGGCCCGAGAAGAGTCGGCCCGGTAATTTTCGTAACCCCGTTGCCGAGGATAATTGCCACGTTTCCGTAGGCCCACGGGGCCTGAAATTCGCCGATGGATTTCTAGCTGGGTCCCTGTTGGAGAACAGAGGGAGAACGTGTTGCCTGGCCGACCTCGACCGACACTTCTTCACTCCAACTACCACTTTTCTCCCCCGACTAAACGGGCCTGGTCGTTCGTTTGGTTGCCCGCTTCGTATCCCTTCTGTTTTCTTCGAGTTTTCTCTCTTTTTCGTTTTGTTTCGTTTCTTCTTGTTCTCCCTCTTTCACTGTGACGCAAGTTTCGATTCGACACGATGCGATGCGGTTACATCGACTGTCTCGTAATTCAGTTACCTCGGTCTTTTCGAATCTGTTCGCCATATGCGTCGCTTCTGATATATTGACCAAAGTGCCAAAGTGTTGCGTCGTGGGATTTTTACGAGGACTTGCGGCTCTTTGGAATTACTTTGGTCCCTCGGAGTACTCCTTTTGTTTCAGCGTTGAAGCTGTTTTTCTAAGTTATTTAGATAGCGCGCGATGTCTCTCGGCGTGTAATAATTTGCTCAGGCATTTGTTTCGATCGTGTTTTATCGAGAAGTATCAACGAGTATAACATCCCCGCGTCAAGTGTGAACCAGAAAACAAAAGTTCCACAGTGTTCTCTGTGGATCAATTATCCTGTCGCAGATGTTAAACAAAATATCCATGCACCGGAGAAATGAAGCGAGACTGTAATTTCGCGCATCGATTATCCGATTCTTAAACAAAGGTTGTTTGTGCATGAAAGGTGGATTTAAACACCGGATCGAAGAGGTTTGCGAAGGTCTCGGAAATGAAGATGATTCCACGGAGGAGAGCGCGAGCGCACACACGGCCAACGATGAAAAGTTCCGAAGAAACGGCGAAGAAGAAGAAGAAGAAGAAGAAGAAGAAGAAGAAGA